CTTACACACCTGGCCCAAAAGTGAAGGCGGTATCCCTGTTGCACTGTGGATTGACTTCATCTACAAATTCAGACTGTCTAACCACCTTTGTAATAAGCAAGACCAAGATATTCTGACCTTTGTAGATGGCTCTTTTTTAAGACAGTTTTGTATTGACGGCAAAACGGCAAGGGACACAAAGAGACTAATAGGCACCTTACAGCATGCAGAGCACACCTTACTTGAATTCTTACCAAATGTGTGGAGTGAAGCAGCATGTTTTCTGGCATTTTTTCATGCTCTCTGCTCTTTAATAAAGGCAATAAAGAAGGACATTCAGTGCCTGCCAAAATTGGCAGATAATGACTTTGAGAGAGTCAACACGTATAAAGGAGATGGTTCAAGACAATCTAGCTAGCACAGGCTTCAACGGCAGACTTTCTTGGAGCTAACAGTATGTCGAAATAAAGAAGCATATCACATGAAACTGTAAACAGAACGCTTCCCTTACACTGAACCATTAGCATCAGATCTCCTGCTGGCAGTCTATAATCTGCTAGTAACTGAACTGTTTTGAGGCCTGAAATCACACCAGTAGTTTTGGGGCTAAGACCTGATAAGGAATCGATTAACATGATATGTCTGGTTACAGAAGGCAATGAATACAATTTTACTATATAGATTTATCTGCATTGTGTGGTAAATAAACAGTCAAGCAAGTAGATCCCTGAAGCCCTTTAAGACTTCAGTCACCTGCAGGTCAGTGACCTGTAGGACAGACTGGGAAAACTTTCAACATTAACTCATTATCTCTTATAACCTATATCTGGGCTGCTTTAAACACCTGCGTTCTTGATTACGCATCATGGGACAGTCACCTCCAGGCAAGCACAAACAAGCAGAATCAAGGATTACAGGTAACATGATCAGAGGCAAACAATTTCCTAGCACAAGGTTGTTCTGCCAGTCTTTTTGGATGCAGGCAGCTGAGACAGCATAGGTTGATATACCCACTGAAAAACCTCGGAGCAGATTATGGCCATTTACTGACAGAATATCACCTCTTCCAACAGGAGAGCTGATATCTGAATCAGAATTAGGCAACAGATTGGGCACTGCAGCATGTTAAGGGCTGCATGAAGCTAACCACGGATGCCTCTACAGACCAGCATAGATAAAGGTTAAAAGGACCTCTTGTCAGGATTAAATGCATCTTAAGATATACTGAAAATGCAGTTAATGAAACTTCTCTCTATAAAGCAGAAACCTGTGCATGAGTGGAAGACATGATTTTGGCTAGATATTTAGGGAAACAAGAAAAAAATAAAATCCCCAGTTGTTTCAGTGATATTTCCCCTGCATATCTGCTCAAGCAGCTAAATAAAAGAAACACCAATTAAGTTTGGAAGACTTTTACATAAACCACAAACTTTATTTTACAAGTGGGGGGAAAAAAGTGATTTCATTAACATTTTTGCTTTTTTTTTCAGTAAAGGCCTAGGGGAAGAATCAATGTTCAATTTTTTTTACTTTGCTTTGACTTTTTAAGCCCAGCAGCTAGTAGCTATTGTTTCTTAATTTTGTTGAGGTAAAATGTGAAATAAAACCAACAAAAACATAAAAGAAAGGGGAAAAATTTAATCCAGAAAATGAAAGTAATGATAACTTTCATTCTGAATTGACAGCTGAGAAGGTAAATTATAAAATACAGTTTCTCATAATGACTAAACAAAAATAGCTCAGTGCCTCAGATAGAATTTAAGCAATGAAATCTCAGCTGTAAATCAAAAGGAAATCAGATTCAAGAATTTAACAGAGCAAGTGAAAGTACAAAATTTGACATTATTTACTGTCATTGAGTCTCAGATATTGGCAGAGATGATCAACAGTCAAAAATAAACTTTGTTTCATTTAATGATAAATAGTTATCCTTAGCAGATTGGAAGATGACAAATTTTTGCTATTTTTCACTCTAAAACATAATATCGAATTACACATGACTTCTGATGGAAAATCAACATGGGGAAGCACAAGAGTAAAGGAATGGTGTTACTGATCACTAAAGCTAATAGTATGGAACAAACAACAAGGGATAATAAGCACTTAAAACCAAAATGCATTCATGACTTAACAGACAATATATACCTAATGTAACAAAAAAAGATTTGAACACTCTTTTGACAAGTCTTGCAATAAAACATTTCTGAAAAAAATTTAAATATTACAGTATTTTCCCCCAACCAAGCAAAACTTATAGGCACCCTAATTAAAAGCAGTCACATCTTTAACTACACCTTCAATCAGCAAATCACTTAAAATAAACTTTCCACTGACTTAAATGCTGATCGGTATGATGAACAGGCAAAGAATGAAGCAAATGCATACAATATGAGCTGAAGCACTTGGTTATATTGGAGCCACTATACATAGCACCTGCTGCTATAAGACTTGTGAAACTGTACACAGCTGAACAATGCAGAAACTCTACCTTTGAATTAGCACCTCAATCTATTTTTAAAGATTTCAGGATTAAATACTTTCCACACAGAGTAAATTCCTGAGAATAGATTGACAAGACAGGGGTAGGATAACCTTGTCTTACACAAACCACAGCTGGGGAAACCTAGCACAAAAAGCCAGCTTACCAACAAGAGAGTTTCAAATAAAAGTATCATGTTATATTTGAAGCTTTTATGGAAGGTTCGCAGCTTCACACCCAGGCTACTCTGTGACTATAAGAAAGGAATTGCAGTGAACCACAGAGCAGTCGTGCTGCCCATTTAAAAGTATACATAGGCATAGTACAAAGGACATTTCTGACACTGAATGAGGAGGACTATGCATACAAATAATAAATGCAAACCAAGTATTTTAACCTGTATCATGAACCTTCTTGAAAACTATTTAATATAGATGCTGTGGTACTTCCAGGCTGATCAAGAGAGATCACTTATTAAACCTTGAAAACCTTACAAAGGCCTAAGAATGTGCCATTGCAGGGATGAAACTCTGAACATCATTAATAAGGTTCCTGGAATTTTGCAAACACCTGTTCCAGATACTATGTTCTGACTTTGCAAGTAGCATTAGATTTACTTTACTAGAGCAGTTCCTAAAAGAATAAAATTATGCCTATTACGCTACACTTTCAAGCAGCAAAATGCTTGACAAACTTGCTTACCAATAAAGTCATAGAGTTTTAGGTCTCTTTTAAAAGAGCTGGATGCAATCTACTCATTTAAAAAAATTCTTGTTTGTCTCATTTTTAAACAATTTTTACAAAATCTATTTCAGGGTTTCGTTATCTTTGCCTAGCCTAAAATTTCCTTGCTATATGCGAAGGTCATTATTTACTGTATTACCTGCTGTGAAAGACAGATACCTATCGTCTTGGCAGTGCCATTTATGTAATGAAAAATTCAAGTCCCCTGTCAGTCTTTTGCTTCAGCAAGACTAAGAGTTTTTTTATGCTTATATTAAAGCATAAGTCACCTTTTATCACTCTTCTTGCTCTACTTTCTCTAACTTGCCTACTTTTCTTCATGTTTCTCCAAGTTCAAGCCCCAAACTTCTCTTGAGGCTTTACTTCTTTTGTTCACAGGAACAAAAGAAACACTTCATGTTTTGCACACTATGTTGCTGTCCACCCATCCTTTGACATTTTTGCAATGGTATGATACTGGTGACTCATCGTTTCTTTGAAAGTGAAATACAATCCCAGTATCTCCTAGACATATATTCTCTTCTTGCCTATCTTTGGGTTTTACTTCTGAAGTCTGTCATGAAAAAGGTCCTAGGACCAGTAGGAATCTCTTGGATCAATTCAGTTCACTCTAAACTATTAGTAGTAGTATTACATAACTGTGATGAAATAATTTCAGACTTTAAACCAAACAATATGCTTGCTCGCACTATGAACACTGGCTTTCTTTTCAATAATCCTCCTACTTGATAGTTGGTACCTGATTATTGCAAGGGGATTTTTAATAAAAGCATATTCATGTTCAATTTGTAACAATTTTTTCTTGCACTAACTTTATCCTTCATCTAAAAGAGTATTTCCTTCTCCTTGATATTTATACCTCAGAAGTATTTACACACTGAAACAAAGTCCATTCTCAGTCTTCTTTCTTCCCAACAAACCCAAGCTCATTTATTCATCTTTTGAATGACAGCTATTCAAAGGCCACCTCTGGAACTCCCAGAGTTCAAATACATCCCAATTATTTAAAGATTATAGAGTATTTCACTATTAGCATAGATGAACTTAACATGAACAAAAAATTGTTGATTAAGGATCGGTATAATCATTAACTTACAGAATTCATTTTTGCAAAAGGGGCTTTGCTTAAGCAGTATGTACAGCAATGCAAAATTAATAAAAACATGCAGAATAGGAACTGTGTATTTAGCAGCAAATAAAGACAATTTTAGAAAAAAAATTTATTAAAACTGATTGCACTCAGTGGCTGATGAATTTTAGGCAATCAGATTTTCGTGATTATGGCATTTGACCACCATCACATGTTACCATGATTTTAAAACTCACTACAATATGTGAAACTACTCTGTGGCTTACAAAAGAAAGCAAGCACCAAAGGAGAGAATGATTACAGTTTATTCCTCACATCCAAAGATGATCATTTACACATGCATTTTGGGTAAGATTCTGTTAGACAAACACAAAACAATGTAGTGCACAACACACCACAACAGCCAAGAGATATAGAAAGGAGTCATCAAATTTTAAAATAAACAGGAGATATCCTGTCTCTGGTAAAATAAACCATCATGAAAAAACGTTTGAACCTCAGAAATTGTCCAATGCACATAGATTGCTTTAATCATAGTCTGCAGTTGAAGGAGGTTACACTCCTAATGGAGGAATTTTGAACATTTGTTCACATAATTTTTATCTACATGTTGCTGATCATATCAAAAGTTTCCAGCATGGTCTTTAAGTTACAGCCGACATAATAGAGACAATGAGTCAAATATACAAGAGTCAAAACAAGGCTTACCTTGTTGCTGGAAGGGTACTAACACGCGTAAAGAAAACAGACGGCTCTACTTCTACATGAAGGCCTAGTGAAAGGTTCCGGTAATATCCTTCAACATGTCCTGGTCCACCAGAGTACTTAAAATTCAAAATGGCTTCCAGCGCCTAGAGAAATAAAAGTAAATTACTTATTAGGTATGTTTCATTACTGTGCATTTCACAAGTTCAATTAAAATAGACCACAGAAGTGATTTACCAACAAAGTTTCTATGCCCTCAAGAATTTGCTTTCCTAACACATCCATTCTATCATCTCAAGCAAAAAAGGCAATCTAACAAATAACTGCATCTTAGGTAAATTGGTTTTTTTTCCTAATCCTTTCAAAAACTAAAGAGTACAGAACAAAGTCAGCTGGACTTCTCTACATAATTCCTCTCCATACTACACTTAACACAGAAAAAATAAAGAGCTTATTTTTGCTTAGAAAAGTTTAGGGTTTATTAAATGATATGCTCTTTCATAGTCTTGAAAAAATATTCACCACTTCATTACCTTCATAATCAAATGGAAAACCTTTAAAGTTTTTGCGTGTGAACAGATAAAGATTATACAAAACTAAAAGCATCTGGTATCTCAACAAGTCACGGTAAGCATATGCTTAACTAACAGCTTAAAACAACACTGTTAACTAGATCTAGTGCATGAACCTTGTATTTCTTTGATGTTCATTTTATAGAACATGATTGGCTAGCAAATATTAAAAATTAGGGTGATTCCCTAGCATTAGTCTTACACACTCAATACTCCCAGTAGTAGTGAGCCTTTACTTCTGTGATGAAATTTTGGGCTTCACGTCTTTTTCCTTAATGAACAGCATGTGGGAAGCTTCCAAGCATCCCAGTCCCCGTGCTATCATCAGTGTTCAAGCTCAGAACAAACCTTTGATTCATTCAAAGACACTACATACCACCTCTTCTTTCATTACATTCCTGAAACACAGTTTGCTGGAAGCAAGGTGAGAATTTGGATCCCAGCTCTTATTCTGGTCCCTAAGCAGCTGCTATTGCCACATCTCAGAGCAAGGACAGAGGTAGTGACAGACCTCTACCCTGACAGGGACATTACCATGTTAGGTCTAGAAGGACAGCCGTTTCTTAAAAAGATTTAGAAACAGTACCAATCTCCTCTTTGATTGGCTTTTAGCTCATTCTTTATTAAAAGAAAAAAACCCCAAACAACCCCCTCCAAAACCAAAAAAACCCAAACCTCAAGTCAACAACTTATCCAGGAAACAAATTATACTTATCAGATGACATCAATCCTCCCTCTCAATTGAAGACTTACAAATCAATTTATGAAACCTCCTAACTTCTAGCTCTAAGGAACAATCTAAGGATTTTCTAACTTACAAAAAAACATTTATGTTTGATGCCATTCTGTTTCTAAGTCTGGCTGAAGGAACAGAAACATGGATACCATCAATTTCTTAAAATAACCACAATCCAGTGATTTAAAGAACACCAAAATCAAGAGTTCAATGTTCTCCTGCATGTACATGCTTACATGTTTTGCCTATTTCCAGCTTGCTTTTAAGTAAAGTGGGCTAACTCCAATTCCTAATTTAGTTTCATTAAAATTCATAAGAGTCACCACGTAATACAGATTAAAACCTTCACTGGGTACGCTGGACATACCCGTCTACTCTGCTTATGTCAATTCCTAATTTGTAGTTAACGAACTCAAGTTTATGTTATGTCAGGAGAGCTAATCAATATTAAATACAAAAATCAAAAAGCGCAAACCCATTCAAAACGTACTTCATTCTAATTAACCAGCTGGACCATTTAATAAAAATCAGAGCCAGTCTCCGTAAGTACAGGGATCTGACACCACTTACATCATAATGTGAGAATGGACTTCAATTTCAATTAGGAAATCTGTGAAAACTCTAGCTATATATGTTCTGCATTACTGCTGTAATACTGACAGTATCCTGCTTGGGAAAGCTCCTGTGGTGTGGATCCATAGTTCATTCTACACAGGACCATGGCACAAAGCTGATTTATTAAGCCCAGTACCATATAATTACAGGTAAACATGTAATAAATGTTAGTTTGAAAGGTCACAGAGCATTATCATTCCAGATGCAAAACACTTTGTAACATCCTATACCAAATGAAAAACCTCCAGAAAAAAGGCTAAAAAATACAACCATTATGTGACATTGATGAGCAGGACAGTTTAAGGGCATCATCATAATCTTGGTCCCTGTTGTAGTGAGGAATTTGTCGAAGAAAACTTGCTGATGACACTGCATGTCCCCCACACCCCATGCTAGAGAACAGGGAAAAGAAAATCTAATGGTCTTCTATTAATGTAGACAACAGGAGGACATCTCTTCTCATCCAAAATGTAAGATCTAACTGGGGACATTTAATACTGAGGACACAGAGATTTTTAATATCTCTGAGAACCACAGAACACCCAAACCTATAATCTTTCTCTGGCCATGATAATTTGCAGCGTTTCTAGGAACATACACTTACACACAAAGATAAAACAGCAGGCAGACTTTACATCAGGACTGTAGATGTATGTGTAGGGAGGAATATGACTGAAGGAAGTGATTTCTTCAGGAGCCTTCAGGTGATCAGAGAAAGTTTTATTGCTTAGGATTCATGTAATATGAACAGAATGTAAAAAAAAACCAAATTCAATCCTCTTTAACCCCCTCTCCGCACGTGTACCTTGGAAAGGACTCCACATACAATATGAAAGATTGATTTTCTATCTCTAGGATAGAAAAAAAAAATCCTACATTTTCATAAACTTACAAACCTCCAATTTAAAACAATTTACCATTCTCTCCCACAGCACCTGCAAAGAAGAACGGTCCAAATGGTACAGCCCCTGATTTAAATAATGTTGTATACTTACTCCAGTGGCCTTGTCAAACCTACACAAATAACAGACTGAGCTGCAGATTCTATTCATTTTTATAAATACCAACAGAATTTATTAGATTTCTCCAAACTGCTTCACTGCAGACCAAAAGGAAACGGCAGGGTGTCACTATGAACATAATTTTGCCTGCAGATGATCCATAAAGAAGAAAAGGAAGGAAGGACGGAGTACATTGACCTCTCAGGGCAGGCAGCCAGGAAAAGAAGCCTATTGTTAACTGAACACATCTGGGATTCAGAATATCTATGGACTGGGGCGGGGGGGGTTTCTTGTTTTTAAGCGGAGTTGCATTCTGGAAACTCAATGGTAAAAATATGGGTAAATTGTTTAACCTATATGATGACTTGATAAATTTTTTACTACTTCATTGGAACTTCCTTCTATTCATGAAGAAAAGGAAACAAAAGCGTTTCTGCATGTAAGTTCCCGATGACAAGACTCTTAAGCAATGGTGCCAGACATTAATACCACCTACTATATTGACAAGAAATATTTTACAGATAAACTATCAAAAAATTACCGTTTTGGTTTCTCCCATGCATTTTTTTCCTCAAACATATTTTCTGCATAGAGCAGGTACCAGTTGTTTGTTTTTTTTAAAATCGTTCTCACCAGTCTGCTCATGGAAATGCTTCCCATATTCAGAATTAAAAGCAAAATTAGAAAAGGACTGCTATTTGAATAACACTATGCCACTAATGAAAAGCAAAACATTTGACATTAAAGTTTCCTAAGTGACAATAGTTAGTACTCCTCTGCCAATCCCTCAATAGTGACTCTGTCTGAACAGTAACACCTTTCATATACTGATTTTTAATTGCCAATTCAAACAATTATAATCTACAACTCAGATCAATTATTTCTACCGAACTACTACTATAGTACTTCCTAGCCAGAAGTACAGAGTAAACTCTAAAGAGAATTTCCATATAATTCTACAAAATATTGCTACTTAGGCAGAACCTAGAACATTATTGATTGAGAACAGGTCTCCCCAAAACAGCTAATGACACAAGAAACATATAAGTGAAGGGGGAAAGAGCAGTGATTAAGGGGATTTCTTGTGCTTGGATGTTAAATATGGTGCTCAATCCTTTCTGTATGCTTGTTCTCTGGTAAGAGGGTTGACTGACTACCAGAGTCAAGAAGCTTTACCCCAAAAAAGTGTTCAAAGTTATATGTAGCAAAGAGCACTATTTTGGCTCAAAAAATGGGCTTAGACCAAGAGTATGTTAAGGTAACTGTAACTCAAGGATATAAGAATCCACCTGCAGAGACACAATCATTATATGCTGTATGTAAAAGAAAATAAACATTCCATAGAAGAACACAAAATATTAGCTTAATTTAATATTAGCAACTCTCATAATTAGACTTTTTTTAAGAAAAAAATCCTTCAGAATATGAAAAACATTAAGAGTCATTTTCTTTTAAAAAAGGGAATAATTACTGAACAGCAACATTAGATATAATCAAAGAAACTACGAACAATAAGAACAATATACACTGTAGGTGAAATAGTAGTTAGGAAACTCAAATTTATAGTGATATATTGTTAATAAGTAAATAATCAATAAAATCTTCATATATTTTCCTCCTCACTGCTGAAAAACACTTTTATGCATCTAAATTTTTGGTTTTGTAAAATTTACAGTTGGAAACAGTTCAGGTCAGGAGCTCCTGGGTTTACTCCTTATATCATCTGTCTTGCTTAGTAGATTTGTTTCTTTATTCTTTGTTTCTTTACTTTTAAGCAATTATACTAGCAATAACTCTGATTTTATCCCTGTGTGTATCTTCTTCTGGAAGAACCAGAAGATTCTGTTTTATGGTGTTTCTTCTTACAGTATTGCATCACCATAAATACTGCATTTTGTGTTTCAGATAGCAAAGCAAGATTATGTCATCAAATTTTTTTCAAACTGGAACATTAATTTTTGAAATATCCATTATCATTGTTTTCCATAATTAAATTAACAAATTCTACTTTGTAAGAAAGACTCACGTATGCTGCATTTTCAGGTCTTTTCTAAATCTCTTTAGTATAGTAAAAATGACACTAAGTAGATCTCAACATTTCATACAAGATGAAATGCCAGTACTTAGATATAGGCAGCTTGCTCCTGAGACTCTGCAGATACTAACTGCAATAACTGTGAAGAAATACCAGAACGTACCATTGCAGGCTCCTGATTAAGATA